ATACTACATCCTGATGCGTTTTCAGGACATTCTGGAACGTGACAAAAACGACATGCTATTGTGGGCTGCAAGGTGGTGCAGTTGGTAGCACTTTTGCCTCGCAGCTAGAAGGTTGCCGGTTCTGCGTGGAGTTTGCATGTTCTCCCCGTGCAGCGTGAGTTCTCTCCGGGTTCTCCGGTTTCCTCCCACACAGTCCAAAAACATGTTGAGGTTGATTGGTGAATCTACATTGTCTGTAGGTGTGAATGTGAGTGTGCTTGATTGTCTGTCTCGAAGTGTAGCCCTGTGATAGACTGGTGACCTGTCCAGGGTGTCCCCTGCCTTCACCCTAAGTCAGCTGGGATAGACTCCAGCCCCCCGCAACCCTAGTGAGGATTCAGCGGTGTATAGATAATCGATGAATCCTCCCAAGTTCGGCCCACTACACTGCTGTGACCTCTGAAGTTTCCCTTCTTCTGCTTGATTGTGACTCACGTGTCATCGATGTACCTGAACCAGTGGGTGGGACCTGCTCTAGAGCTCAGTCACTAGTGAGTGAGTGAATCAGTCTTACATGTTTTTGTTTCGGCTGCCTTTTTGCACACGTCCTTGTTTCTTTAAACCTTATTTTTTTATTTTTGCAAAACAACTTACAAAACCTCCAAAACAGTTGCTGGTGTCCTGTTAAATGCAGACCATAATTTTTGCCCAGTTGTTCAGCTTTATGAGTTGGTAGGAGGAGTTTGTGATCGTTGTTGAGCTCCAGGCTAAATGATGTTTTATCTTAAGTTAAGCTGCAGCAGCCTTCTCAATTTACTCTGCCAAAAAAGAAGCTTTTTTTTTTTATTATTTCAGGGTTTTTATTTCAACAAATTTTCACCACAGTAATGTCACGTCATGCAGTATTTAAAAAAAGAAAAAAGAGAAAAAAAAGAAAACATTTTTCTTCTACATATGTCCATCTTGTCATATTTTCAGCATTTAACCCTTCAGGATTTTTTTTAAAAATGGAAAAGAGAGTTGAGGGGAGCAGTCAGCTGTTGGGTAGTATCCCTAAATACTAAATTTTGCTCTCGTTTTAAAAGATGGTTACTTATTTTTCATTTAAAAAGTTGAAATATATTACTTGTTAGATAATTGTTAACTGCTCAAATAAAAGGGCACCGTTTTCATTTTCTTCATAAATCATGCAAGCAGAAAAAAGGACCTGAAATGTTTTGTGCCCTTTTCTCATATTTATCCGATTAACAAGTAGAGAATAATACATGATTGCAAACTGTCAGTTGAGGTTTATTACCGTCCAGTGTTCTCAAAGTGTTCACATTAAAAACTGGGCTGCAGCAGTTCAGTCATAGTCACAGTTCACTGCAGTTTAATGGGAGGATTGGTTAGAATGTCGATTGCTACTTTACAGTAAGTTTAGGCGTCACAGGAAAACAACATTTTGGGTGAGAAAATTCACTTTCATGAGAGATCACAACATGATTTTTTTTTTTTAAATTTTTCTTTTTAAACGTAAAGAAAAAAAAAACTGTCATCTACAAGTCTCTTTTCAGTAAATTATGTTTTACTTTCTACAGATAAAATTAAAAACAGGCTGCCACCTGCTAAAACAAATAATAAATAAATGCATCTGACATAAATAAATAATTTAACTCCAAAAAAAACACACACACACACAAACCATCTACCAAACATGAAGATGTACAGTATACTACAATTAACACACAAGTCACGGTCGCTTTATGCACAAAGCCGATCACTTCTTTCTACTTTGCTTCACAGATTTTTAATTTTTTTTAAACATATTGCTTGTTGATTATGTTTTTGTTTTATCACCTCTTCACCTTTTTTTTCTCTGCAGGTTGTCCAGTGGGTTTGTGTATTGTTCCACTAACTGAAGTATAAACCACAAACAGGAGGCTACAGCGTGTGATTGTCTCACTGCTCATTTCCTCAGAGTTCGTCTTCATCAGAAATGAGTGAAGCTGTCAGACTGCCGATCGTTTCCTGATGCTGAGCACCGTCGCCACACGTCCCCTCCTTGCTTCCTCACTTTTCTCCTTTTTCTCACAGTCGGAGAAATCTTTCTGGTCGGCGCACACCAGCGTGCAGGTGTGAGCAGGTAGCCTGAAAGCAGCACCGGCCGTCTCTACACACAGATCTCGATGGGCGTGGCCACGAGGATGCGTCCTCTTTCGTTGTTGTCTCTGTTGACGCGCTCATAGCTGCTGGTGGAGGAAGGCGAGCTGTTCGTGGACATGGAGGAGTAGTGGGTGTCCATCATAAGGGCTCCCTTCGCTGCTACACAGGCAGGCGACAGGCTCTGCTGCTTCAGTCTGTCCACTAATACGTCCTCTTCAGACGAAGACGAGCTGATGTCCAGAGGAGGTGCGCTGCTCGCCAACCCCCCGCTGCTGCTGTTCCCGTTCTCCGTGTCCAACATCCAGCACTGGTTGAAGTAGCTGAAGACTTCTTTGACGGAGCAGCGGCGCTCCTGCTCGATGGACAGGAGCCTGCGAAACATTCGTAGAGCTTCGTCTGTGAAGCGGCGCCACTGTGATGGCACGGTGCCCGTCCGACGGCGCTGCCAGCGGACAAACTCCTCGTAGAAGGCGTCGTTGGGCATGGCCTTCTCCCAGGGGAAGTTTCCTGTCAGCATGCAGAAGAGCAGCACGCCAAACGCCCACACGTCTGTGCTGTAGTCCACGCAGAAGCCCTCGTGACGCGAGGTGTCACACAGTTCAGGCGCCGTGTACGGGATCGTGCCGCTCACTCGCTTCACCGGAGAGCCGGCACGCCGTGTCATGCCAAAGTCTGACAGCTTGACCTTCCTGCACTCCTTGTCAAAAATGAGGATGTTCTCAGGCTTGATGTCCCGGTGGACCAGCTTCTTGCAGTGCAGGTAGTCCAGGGCGATGGCCACCTGGTGGACGCAACGCTTCGCCACCATCTCAGGTAGTCCCACCTGGACGGAAAAGGAAGGACAGCGTGGTCATTGACTGGACCGAGAAGAACCTGGACATGGAGTAATTACAGTCACCTGTGAAGAGCCAAGTCATGGCACAGTAACCAGTCACATCTGGAGAGAATGTTGATGTAAGTAAATGTAACCTGAAGCCCAGAATATTTCAACAATCTGATCAAATGCAGCTCTAATCTTTGTCCCTGAACAGCAGCAGTGGACCTGATTCGCTCAGTGGATCTGCCCTCCAGCAGCTCAGTGGATAAAGTATCGTTAGTAGCCTCACCGCTTCTGTGTCAAGCTGATTTGTGACAGTGGTGTGTAGGAATGTTTATGATTAATTGATTACAAATGCATTAGTAGATAATGCAGCAGAAAAAAGGGACATTCTGTGTAACTGTCACAAATGTATGCCTCAGTACCAAGATGTACTGCTATGTGGAGGCCTTGTAGGCCAGAGATGTCCTTGCATTTTTTATTTTATTTTATTGAAGAGGTAAGTGGAGAGAGACAGGAAAGAGTCGGGGAAGGACATGCAGCGAATGAGCCGTGGGTCGGACTCAACCCATGGCTGCTGCGTTGGTGACTTTCAGCCTGTACATGGTTCACCAGCTCAGCCTGTTGAGCTTACTCCTTGCTTTTGAACCACACATTTGTGAAGACAGTAGCTGCATTAAGGTTCAAATAGTTGCCAATGTACTACACGTGTTATTGCAGGATTCCACCAGAGGGTGCACCAGAGGACTCAGATGATATAGAACTATAAGATTTGGTGATGTAAAAACTTGAGGTGGTTAGTATTTGATCATTTTAAGATAACGGCAAACCTGTTGATTCTAAAATGGTACTTATCTTTGAGCATCTATTTTTAAAAGTATATTTGTCACTGTGCAGCTGCAATGAACGTCTTTAAGCTTGTCTATTTTTGTTACTGTTCGTGTTGATTTCACTTCCATCAGCGGTGGGCCATCCCCATACTGTCCCTGCTGTGATGTGCATACCGCACCTTGTGGACACACTGCTATATTTTGCATGCAGGATACACAAGGCTACTATTGTGGGCACGCAGAGTTTAAAGCACGTACATCTCTGGCCTACTGTCTGGTGAGATGGAGTTACAGGTGTGTTTACCAGCCTGAAATGCAAGTTTTTTGCCTCTTTGTTGAAATGGCAATGCATTTTAGAATTGGCAATTTAGTGTTATGGCAAAACTCCATCTGTTGCTTTTAGATGTACTTTTCACCATGCTCTTTATGTGTAAAAAATGAAACTAAAATGTAATCTGTCAGTCCTCATTAAAGCACATCTTCAGTTTGTCTGCATTGGTAAGTCCGTTGTTGATGTTTTGTGTTTATCTACATCCTTATGCTGAGGCTTGACAAACCGATACCCAGTAGGTCTGGGTAAAGTTAGTAGCTTGCTTGCAAAGTAGCAGCTGTTTACTACTGTAAAAGAAATGGAGTTGCTAACATAGCAGCACTCAGGGGCTGCTGTAATCCTGTCAGAGACCACAAGTGAGACACTTTTGCCACGTTGATGTGAATTTAATGCTCACTACACATAAAATTGTCAGTCAGTCCACAGGCAGTAAAGAAGTGATTGGTAGTCTTCAGTGTAAACAGCACATGAATGATAGTGTGCTGCAATAGGACAGCTGCTGCACGTGTTGTTTGAAGAACGTTCAGGGCTCTGCCTCCTCCCTCAGCCCTGAATAGATAATGCTACTAACATGCTTGTTGTATTTTCATGGTGATAACGGGTTAGTGCAGATCCAAGTGACCCACTGACCTCCAGCAAACGCAAACACAAGAGCCATTTGATTCCACTGCTGGTGTCGTCTGTTCACCGTCAGCGGTGAGTGTTGTAAACAATATTCCAGTGAGCCCTCTGCATTAACATTCACACAGATTTAAAGGAAAGATTGCAGGTTACTGTTTTGTACTCTGCTTGCTGCTACATATATAGTTGGCTCATCCAATCAGTTCAGTATTGTGTTTCCTGAGACGCTGCTGGTCATTTATAACATTGAAGGAAGTGCTGAAGCCAAAACAAAATGCTAATTAAATAAATAAATGCATAAAAGCTTATTAAATATCAATGGGTGCATAATCTGTATCTACGCCATTGTTTATGCTGATTGCAATCAACAGATTTTGACAAATGCCTTCATTTAGACGTTTGCTGAGCTTCATCTCTTCATATGCACGTTAAACAATGCTGAACTGATGGGATGAACAAACTAATCATGTAGCAGTGTACAAAGTATTCAACTACAGGTTCCCTTTGACATTCTGGTTCCTCTACTTGTTGAGAGTCTGTGTTAACGCAAAGAGCTTGAATATTGTTTGACACTGAGCTCTGCTGACGGTGGACCAACAGCATTGGACATCACAGGGACTGGAATCAGGTGGCGCCTCTTTCTGTGGATGGTGAGCATGGAGGGCAGTGGGTCACTTGGATCAGCTTTAACCCATTATATTAATGAAAACATAACACGCATGTTAGTAGCTGTTCAGGGCTGAAAGAGGCAGCAGCTGTGCTATTGTAGTACAGCACCATTAATGTGCTGCTTACATTGGAGACTTCAAATAGTTTTATATGTGGTGAGCAATAAATACTATCAACATGGCAAAAGTGTCTGACAGGCTATATAACAGGAAGGTACAGACTCCTGACTGACCCAGCAGTCTCTAATACAGGAGCGCTGTTGGCTTGCTTTGTGGTATTTATATGCTTGTGTGTTTACCACTGAAATTATTCTGCCATTACTTTTGCTGCTAAATGTACCCAGGCCTAGCATGATTAGTCTGTTATGCCTCAGTATAAGGTTGAGCAGTAGATAAACAAAATGTCAACAACGCAGAAACAGTCTTCCTGATATACACTACTGAAGTCTGAGTTGATCATGTGGACGCTATGAGGTCGAAAGCGACTTACTGATCAACAAATCAGTGTCATGAGGCTCAACGCTCCAGCCGCTATCCAGCTTATTACTCACAGAACAAGGAAGTGACGTTCTAATGGAAGACCTGTCCTGATACGGACTGACAGATGTTGACAGATGTAGCATGTTGCTGCACATTCAGCACGACTATGATTAACATGCTTCCAATAGCATTAGAACTTAAGTCATTAAGTATATCTGGACTCTTAGCTCGGAGTATAAATACATTAAAGCAGTAAATATTTGCAAACATCTGTTCCCACTGAGCAGCTGTTTCCAGCAGCTGGACTGATGTTAACTACAGTTAACAAGTTACTGCATCATGTAGAGAAACTGTGAGGACTGTTTTATATAAACTCATTAAGATTGAAGAATTTTGCTCCAGGAAGACTGAATCAACATGTTTTCTGTTTATTGCCTGACGTTACAGGCTATTTACTATTTAAAAGACCGTGGCATTTTTGGTAAATGCAAATGGGTCAGGCTTGGTTTTGTTAGTCGTTTCCACCACATCAGATCTGACCTAATTTCTGTTGAAGCTGTGCAGCTGCTTTCTGTGTTTACTGTTTTTTATGAGTTTATTTTGTGTAATGTTGTTGTCTAACTGGAGTTGTCAGCCAACGTAAGACATTTACTGTTTCATGGTAAATTTTTTTAAACAAGCGTGCACTGAAAAATCCCTAATGAAGGACTATTCAGAAAGACAGCAGCACAACTGGAAGGCTTCACTGGACAAAGTAATCAGATCAGGACTGAACATGTCTCATAAATAAAGTCTCCCTGCAGTCTTTTACAGTAAATAACCTGTAATGTTATTGAATCGATGTAAAACCGGGTAGTTCAGTCTCCTCGCGGTGGACTTGAGTTATAATGGATTATATTGAATCTGAGACGTGCCTGATGATGGAGGGACTAGTCGACTGTCGTTAATCCGTTACCATTTACTGCCATCTTTAAAATGGATTCATACTCGGAGCAGATACACGTCATCACTTTAGTTTCAATGTTGTTGGAAGCTTGTGATCAGAGTCCTGCTGCTCCTGAACGTTAGCAGCATTAGCAGCTACTGACTTGCGTACACACACTCAACCTGGTAGCATAGCGTTAGCACAGCAACAACATGCCTGCAAAGGCCCCAACTAGTGGCTGAAATAAGTACTGCAGCAAATCTACAAAACATTTTCAGATAATGGTACCTCACATCCCTCGTCTGCCTTGTTGGTTAAAATAGAAACAGCAAGTAATTAACATCTCTAGTTTTTGAATTTGGTTTTTACTATAACCGCAACTAATGACTAATTGATTAGTTGTTTACGCTATAAAATGGTGAAAAATGTTTGAGTTGTGGGCAAAACAACACATTTGCAAAGACAATAAGTTTACTGTCGAAGGAGGAATGAAACCAAAAAATATTCACATGTAAAGGACAGAATTAGTGAATTTGGACTAGATATGGCTGACAATCGATAAAGGACACGGTTTAAAATCTGCTGCCTGCCAACAACAAAGCACGTTTATAAGGTTCATCTTGTTTTTGCCGTTTCACTCCTTAACTGTAGAATAAATTGACTCGATCTGCACAGCTGCCTCTGCTTTTTCCTTTAAATGATGCCTTTTTAAATCCAATTTAAGCTGAACTGTAATTTTTTTCTTTTGTTGTGTGTTTTTAATATTGATTGTGCTGCTGGTTTGACCTGGACTCCCTGGTACAAGACATCAGCTGTCAGTGGTACCTTCCTTGCTAAATAAAGGAAAAAAAACAAAAGAGATTTTTTTTCCCTGTCATGTATTTCTACATTTGTGGTGTGATTTTATTGCTCCCACACAGGCTTTGTTAAGAGCTCAGAGGAGGGTCTGTTCTGCAGATCTTTGCTCAGTTCAGTATGAATCAAATAGAAAATGAGTTTGACACTTTCACTCTTTGCCGATTTTGATGACTTCACAAATGGATAATTTGCTCTCAACTGAACTTTTCATATTTTAACCAAAAATGAAAAGGGGTTGATTCTAATTTTATGTTTTGTGCTCGTGGTTGGACTGTACCATTAGTGGGGGGGTTCTACAGGAAGTCACAGCCGCTGTACAACAGTCATTATGTATTATAGTACTTTATACTATCTGACCATAATAAGAACTTATTGGCTGCACAATATGTTAACTGTGAATAAAATCTAATTCTGAGGCAACAACCAACACATACAATTAATATTAAACTGACGCGACATTAACAACTTTAGTGGAGAGTAATCAAGTATATTTACTCAAGCTCTGTACCTGCATACAGTTTTGAAGCATTTGTACTTGAGTATTTCCATTTCTTGCTACTTTACACATCTACTCTGCAACAATTCAGAGAAAAATATTGTACTTTCTACTCAGCTCATTTAAGATTAGACAGAATTTTACACAATGGATATCATAAAGACAGAGTTAATGATTGAACCAGTGGTTTCCAAACTTTAGGCTTCTTATAGAAATCACTGTGTAGTCGGTTCACGTTTCAAATGTCTGAGTTGTTAACATCTTTACCAATTAGTGATTGATTCCTTTAAACCTCTCACACGGTTTCATTTCAGTAAAATGATTCAATATCAGCAGATATCAAAGATCAGGAACAGATTTGTGTATCAGAGATTTGTTTTTTTCCTATTTTTCTATTAATCATGTTTGGAGCTCTCAGATTAATCTGCTGTCCCTGAACATAAAACTGGATATGAAAAAGTTTAAATTATATACCATAATATTAGACCGATAGACCCAACAAATACTTTTACTTTAATACAAAAACTACATTTTGCTATCAATAGGTACGTACTTTTACTTTCAGTAGGATTTTTCATGCATCATTCACCTATCATGGAATACCTTTATGTTCCCTTATTGGTATTTCTGACGTAAGGATCTGAATACTTCTTACATCACTAACTGTCTATGAATTAATAAAATAGAAAACGGCTTTAAAGTGTACTCGTTCCAATTATGGAGCCTCGAAAGAGTATCCGTTATGCTTCATCAGTACCTCCCTGATCCAGGAGTGGGTCATTTGTGCACTGCTGCCTTTCATTTTTCATTTGATCCATTCAGACAGTGTGAATAAAAAAAAAATCAAGCTGCAAATGCTTTTATTTAATTAACACTTTACAACTAAAGGTTGTGTTAAGGCACAACGATGCAGAGATGATGCTACTGGAAGGCAATTTTTAATCTGTGGCATGTATATATCTAGGTTTCCTGTATTTAGGGATTAGGACAAACATCTGGATTATGCTGCAAAAAAAAATAACGTAAGAGAAATTTCAATCTGTGGGTTAGTTTGGGTCTTTATTTTAATCTTATTTTAATGTTTTATTTGGTTCATTTTGTCTTAAATCTGATTTATTCTTAATGGTTTCATTATTCGAGTAATTTGCCTTTTAATAGTAAACGTTTCATTCGTAAACCCACATCTGTCTATTGTATGGCTGCTCAGCTGTGGAGTAAAGGTGCCTCTACCTCGATATATATGCGAGTTTAAATAAAGTTTGAATGACTTTGTTGATGCAGCAGATGTTTTCTGTGTGTGCAGGTGTGACGGTCGGCTCTCACCTGTGGAGGGATGATGTCGAACAGATCTCCTGCCAGCGCGTACTCCTGAGCGAAGATGTAGTAGTCGTCGGTTTCGAAGGCGATGCCGTACATGTTGATGATGAAGGGGCACGGCGACAGGTACAGAGAGATGCTGTACTCTCGCAGGAAACTCTTCAGCTTGGTGGTCTTCTTCCTCAGAAACTTCAAGGCCATCTTCGTGCCTGAAAACGAGGACATGACGGGTTACGTAACTTCCAATCTCGCTCCTTTCTTCTTGTTCTTTTCCAGCCTATTAAAGTGTTTGGGGATTTATGTCACAGCCGCCTAATTGCTTGCAAGAAACTTAATTAAAATCATTTGATGAATAATTAAAATCTCCACACAGAATTAAATCCTGATGTGTTTTTTTTTCTTTGTGGGAGATTTATATTGGACTAGTTCTGTTCCCACAGTGTGACCAAGATGCTGCTGATCTGCTTTCATGTTTACGTCTCTTCAAACAGCAAAATTGATATAAATATATATTTCAAAAAGGGAAAAGATGCACAAAATCACATTCAGCTGTCTGTCCGAGAAGAGCCGACCTAAACTGTCCAGACAATTAGCTGGAGAGCTGCCACGTCTGCCTAGAACACCTTCATCAACAGTCCGTGTCAGCTGAGGCTTCTCCAATAGCACCAGATCAGCTCTGCTTTGAGCTTTTTACAGGCGGCAGCCTCTAAAGGTCAACAGGAGCTTCCTGTTTGTTTTAATGATGCCCCTCTTTTTCTGTATCATGGCCTTGAGAGCAAACAAAATGCAAATCTTCTCAGTGCAACACAATTACAGCTAATAGTCACAAATAATATAATGCTTTTGAGGCCTGTATAATATGAGATGTAGTCAGTTAACCTGTGAGCTACAGTTGGAATCCTCTCTACTTGTTTACATTTAGTGAAACTGACACCATTAGAAGCAGCTGAATTTGCCATTAGCAGCTCCTCTTTGCCACATATCTGTTCATGGACACACAGCTCTCACCGAGGTACTTAGATACTCAAGAAAAATGCGATGATTCTCTGGCATTTATGCTCTTCTCTAATCATTTCTAAGCTGATTTATGGAGACGGTACACCAAATTATTTTTTCTGTGCAACATCTGCCTTCGCCCTCAGTCAGCTGGGATAGACTCCAGCCCCCCACGACCCTCGTGAGGATTAAGCGGTGTATAGATAATGGATGGAATATCTGAATATCCACTCATGGACGATTCTGTACTTATGTATACGTTTTGTTTATTTAGATTTTCTACTAATGCTCCTTACATTTTTCCATTGTCCTGTTTGCTGCTGTAGAACTGCAGTTTTCCCTGCTGTGGGATTAATAAAGCCTTATCTTATCCTGAAAGGTTTCTGCCTTTGCTTCTTCAAACCAATATTTATTTTATTAACATTTGAATGTCTCTATATCAAATTATGTTGCATTACTGTTACTTTTGAGGACGACTACTCTGTATTTATCTCATCTTGGCTGCCTATTCCAGTGTTCTGGTGTGCATTAGTCTCTAAATCTATTTTTGTCATCCTGTGTTTTCTCTGTCTTGTAAAGCACATCGAACTGCAATTGACTTGTCTGACAAGTGCAAAGTTTGATTGATTTATTGAACAATCTGCTTTTCGTGGGTGCATATGGAGGAGAGAGATGCATTTATGAAGGCCAGGAAAAGGCCTTACAATCTTCAGGATCAATAACTATATACAATTGTAAGTAGTATAATAGTACAAGTCAGTATTTCTGACACAACCATTTGTCATATTTTGCGATTATTAGCTGTCAAAGGTACATTGTTCTGTTCTCAAGTACAATTCCTAAATACTTTAACTGAGTATTTCCATAATGGGGAAAAATATTTTACCTTGTACTCCACTACATTTGTTGGACTACTTTAGTGACTTCAAACTCGTACAGTCGAGTCAAAAACACATATATCCAGATGTGATTCTGAATGTTTGTGATAACCCTCTCTGGCTGTTGCATCAAAGTTACATATTTAGAAGTTTTTTTTAAACCATGAAAATAATCCTTTCATGCTTTAAAATGGCTTAGATGTAGCTCTAAATCGGATTATTGTGGAGAAGAATATTGAAGCAAAAAGCCCCGTGCCGTAAATTGGCAGGATTGGTCCGTTTGGTTTGTTGTGTCTGAATCTGTGTTTTTGATTCAGTCATTGGTACGTCTCAGGTGGAAGCTCTGTGCCGTGGTGTTGACAGCTTACTTCACTCATTTTGACACATCTACTATCTTCTAACATTTAAACCCCCAGAACATGTGAAGTAGCCTCCTCCTCAGTCTACAGTCCAGCTATCAGCAAAAACTAGCACAGAAAATTAGCGCATCATATAAAGAGAAAAATGCATCGACATTCCTGAACATGCAGAACGCTGTAAAAATTCTTGTGCATTAGTTTCGCGTTTGCACAAAGAATGATTTGCTTTGTTAAATCAGCCTGCAGGCTAATAAGCAAAGATAAACAGCATCTGTTCAGGGGAGCCAGCTGAAGCTTTACGCAAGTCAGCCGAGTGTTCAGGAGCAGAAAGATAAACTACATGTAGAAAAACAAATATCTGGCCCACTGACCCACAAACGTAGTGAACAAAACACCTACAGGGTTCAGTTTGTTTGTTACATATTCCTGTGAAACCGACTTATTTCCAGTCTTCACAGTAAATCACAATTTCTAGCTTACAAAGACGTTGCAGGCAGAAACTCAAACCTTTACGAGTTTTCTAATATTGCAGCAGGTCTAAGTGTAACATACATGAGGACAGAGCTTTTAATGAAAGTGAATTAATTACAATTCATTCGAATAACAAAATGGATTACATACAGGAAAAGAATCTGTAGCTTAAACAGCTGCTGAAGAAAACCCTCGTCAATAGAAAAGCATTGGCACACAATTATGACTCAAAGGTCAGCCATTACTGCACCTTCAGTCGCCTCATTTCCACAGTTAACTGGATTTTCATGCTTTGACACTGGAGGAGGCTGGACGACTAAAGCTGCATTGCTCCTCTGATGGCTCAAATAATAAACCCACAGGAGATTTTTCATGCATCCTTGTGGAAAAGGTCAGAGTTTGTCTCGTTGACAGACTGCAGGCTCTAAAAACGGGCAGTGAATCTGAGGCTTTGTGCTCCATAAAAGAGATTGTTAAGAGGCTCAGAGCAGATGGGCAACAATTTGGCTTTTAATGTGAGGAGGTCAAGCAGACTTTCTATTAGTTAAGTGGTGAATTTAGGCTGTCTGGGTCCTGATCTCTCCTAAATCACTGCATAAAGGCAGCTCTACTTTGGCTGTCAGATTAATTTCTAAAAGTAAACTCTTAACCTGCGCAGCGACGACACGAACGCACCGTTGTTTTCAAATCTCGCATGCTGCTGTAAAATGAGCTCAAGAGCACAAATGAGAACAACATCTCATTTCCTCCACCTGCAGATCAGCTCGTTTTGTGGCCAAATTCATTTCTGGGAGGTGAACGTGGGAAATCTTGTCCTCCCACAAGAGGTGATGAACTGGAACTGGAAATGCAAAACGTCTTTGTGGAAAGAAAAATGGACTCATCAGTGTTTCATGTTTGGCTTTTCTTTTTCCTTATTGGATTTCGCAATGAAGCATCAAACACCAGCAGAGAAAGAAATATTCGGTCTTCTACTAAAGTAACATGAGTACCACTGTTAAAACTATTTAATTACTACATTACAAACTAAGAACAGGACTAACAGATGTCTTGGGTCAGTGTTATGCTCAGGTAACATATTGCCTCAAGAATATTTAAAATTAAGTAATTTAATAAGTTGTTTAACATATTTCGTTGGCATATTTAGCCATTTAGCTAACACATTTACATAGGCAAGACAGAATACAGACGTCATTGTTGGCATTATCAAGTCACAGATTCGCATATTTAAAGGCTTTTAGGACAGTTTTGGAATATATATCACTTGGGTAATATCTCAGCTCACAAATTATAAATACGTGCTGCTTTGTGGCTATTATAATATTAAGCTGAATCTCATTATGGGACTGTTGGTTGAACATTTTTTCAGTGTTATCCAATATTTTATAGATCAGATGATTACCAAGGAGAATAATCAGGACAAATCAGTGTCAGTTCTCACCTCTGATTTTGTGGACGACCAGGTCCACCTTCCCGTAGGTGCCCTTTCCCAGCTCTCGGACGACCTCATAGTATTTGTTGATGTCGAGCTTTTCCAGGTTCTGTGCTGCGATCAGCTGGAGCTCCTCCAGGATGTCGATGGAGGCCCGGGAGCCGTGGGGTGACGAGTTCATGGTGGTGGAGGGACGAGGGTCTGGAGACGATGTTCCTGCAGAACAGGAGGGGCAGGAAGGAAACCGAGGCTCAGTGCAAGAACAGAATCCACCCACAGGACCTCCGCTGTGTACAGAGAACACCGACCGCATTGTGTTTACACGCACATCAACTGTTATCGTGGGGAAATGAGAACGCTTTGAGTGCAGGCCAAATGAACCGTTATGTAACCTTTAAACTGCGTTTGAGAAAATCCATCTTTCATGGTCACAGGGCTCCAGTACAACCACCAAAAAAAAGAACAGACCTGGATTTTTTTCCATTAGTGCAAATTTAATGTATTTAGGTCCAGTAATTACCAATCAAGGCCAATATGGACAGTTTGACTTTTACATAATCACTTGATTAATTGAATTAAGTCCAAGACACACACTGATTACAACATTTTGTATATAAGTGAGGTTAGTTAATTTTTACTTCCCACCAGTAGATACTCTTCCTGACATCAAACCTCATTCAGCCTTTCTGCAGACGTTTCTACCAACACTGATCCCCAACAAGTTAATATCTGATACTGCGGGGTGTCACCATGTACCAGTGTTGATAATATCCATGACATTCAAATAATGACATAATGATGCCATGTTAACAATACACAGATGAATATAGTAAATAATTCAGCACCAGTAACCATCTGATTGACACCAAGAGAGGAACATACAGTACAGTTACCATTACTGACACTCTGGTCCTTCATACTCTTCCCTGCATTTCATTTGCCCCCCAAAAAAGACATAAAACACAACAAAACAGCACTAAAGACATATTTGACTTTATCGGAATGCCAACACAATAATCGTACAGTGAAAATCTGATGTCGTGACACCTGACTTGGTGATTTTCTTTTAGTCCACCTCTAATTATTTATTTTTATAATTATGTATCATACAACTATGTATTCATTTACTGCAAACGCTCAACATCATTTCCTGCTGATTCTAACTCAAAACATTGTTTCCAGCAAGAATTGAAGTCTACAGCCGCGCTAACGGCTTCATGAGGCCTTACAGACCTAAATGCTAAATCCTAACATGCTCACTATAACAACATTACAATAATACAGTGTTGAATTTTGGATTAAATTGAGCTTTTTTTCAGTCATACATCTACAAATATTGATGAAAGAGTTAAGAGTTCATCATACCAGCTCTTATCACAAAAACTTTATAAATGCAGCAACCCCCAAGCGATGTCATAAAAGCATCAGAACATAACAGGATAAACAAAAAAGATCAGTCATTTTATTAACGCAAAAGCTAGCGTTTACCAATTAAAACACAAGATAGTATGTTTAGAAACACAGTCTAATTCACTCAAAACCACAAATGCGGTGATGACACAGGAAAAGTTAAGAGGATCATACAGTCTGCCGGATTTCTGCTCTAGGAACCAGAAATGTTCATTCAAAACACATCCACATAGTTGCTGAGATATTTTGGTCTTTTGGATCAAGCTGGTGGACCGACTGAAAACGTCATCCCTAAAACCACACTGCTGCAAAGTTAGTGGAGAAGATGATGTAAGTTTCTGCACAAGAAGCCTCACCATGAATGAGTTCCTCTTTCTAATTTGTCATTATTGTAGGTTTATTCTGGTCCAGATCAATTAGCACTTTGGCCTCACAGCAACAGTTTCCTCCTCATCCAGAAATATGCAAATCAGCTGAAATGACTCAGAAATGGCTTCAGGTGTGAGCGTGGTTAAATGAGTGATACAACCTCTGTTCATGCAGATGAAGGACGAGGCAGATAAAGAAAACTGACTAAATGAGTCACTCTGGAAGTGAGAGCAGAGCAGCGTTTGTGGAGCTGATTAATGATGCTGCTGCATTAATGAATGTCTAATTCTGATCCGATGTGTTTCTGCTCCGTCGCGCCTGCTGCCTTCAACTCTCAGCAAATCTGTCTCGCCTTCCTCCTGCTGCTGCTGCTGCCGCCCGGACGAGCCGAGCAGCTGAAAGATCTCTGAATGACTGTGGAGACTTCGCGGCCCTGATGGCGCAGCAGAACTGTTGCGGCACTCATTAACAGGGATGAGGAGGTGTTGAAGGAGACAGGATGCTGGACACATCCTGAGCTGAGGTCCATCTGTGCCCGTCTGCAGTGTGACAGTGTGCAGGACGAGGAAATGTGTACACAAAACTCAAGTAAAGCGTGTGAAAACAATGAAACCAAACAACAACACGCAGTATGTTCCACCAGAAAGAACCCCGGTGATAGTCAAACTGTGATCTGTGGTCATAAAATACTACTTTAAAGTTGTTTCACTTAACTGAACCTCATCTTTTAAACTGGAAGTTGCATCCTGACTGCAACATTTTGCTCCAAGATTGTTCACCTGTGACAGGTGTTCTGCTTATCGCTGTATGAAACAGTTGGCAGTAAGACGGGACAGAAAGCGGTTTATTTGTATTCATAAGGCACTGAGCAGCAACACGCCGCCATGTTTAGCTTCCTTTTCAAACTGATGCTAAAGTCATTTCTAAAATCAATGCATATTGCAACTGCATATAGTGAATTTGGGGAAACTGTTGATAGATTTTGTGCAGCACAATCCTGGAACATTTTACAAGAAACATTTAACTTAACACAACTCTACCTGTTGGTCGATTTAAGACGATTACTGTGCACTTAAATGTAACCCTTAAACTGTGTTGGGTTTGTTTTCCTGTTGATTTTTTCTGTTTTGATTGTACTCTTGACTTCAGTGTAAATGAAGACTCGATGATTTCTAGAGGTTTAAATAAAGATTGACCTGAAACATGAAGAATCTTGTTGCCGACTTCTCTCTGGTGTACACACAAGGTTTCTGGCCTCAAACCTCACTTGGCATTTCTGTACTTACTTCTATACTTTTATGGTGCACAAAAGCCACGTTGTCTATGAGAGATTAAAAAATGTAACTAATTTTAAGAGTCGGAAACTGTAAAACAACACACGATCAAATTTTTCAACTCTCCACCTGTCCTTGAACTAATCATCTGTGAGGTGTCGTTCCATCTGGAAAACGAACCAAATCTAAACCTGAAATCGTGATATTTCATCACTTTATTCTATGCATGTCATTTAAAACTGCAGGCTGCGTTTACACAGAGCAAGTGTGGAAACATATTAAAAATGTCAATAGGAAAGTGTTTTTCGTAAGTAGTGATCCTTTTCTGTCCATTGTTAACACCTGTGGGCACTCGCAAAGACCTTGTACATGCCGATTCAAGGGTTTTTCAATTTTGTAAAATAAATAAAGAAATTCAACTTTTTAATGGCATGACTGGGTTATTTTGCAAAAAATACATTTCTGAGTTCTCTCTACTTCTAGCCACGATTGTTCTGTTTCCATCGAGGTGCAGGACTTAACGCTGCAGTGAAACAAGTCCGCCACAAGGAAAAACGTGACGGGAGAAAAAATTCTTGGAATTCAGAGAGTCTAAAGCATTCTGGACACAGGAAACAGAAAAAAATAAGTTATGATCATGAAATCATACCTAATTTTTATAAGCTTATAGCTGCAACAGTCATTCAATGTTTACATTCAGTAATGGCCGTCTATCTGCTCTATGAAGCTGTCTTTATCATCAGTGGCACAGCCCGCCATTACCATGATGGATTCAGCATCACTATTTGTGGTTTTATCTCAGTAATACCAGCCTCAGTGTTTACAGACCTGCAGCAGTGAGCTGCTAATGCAAACCAAACATATCCTGCTGCTACCTCACAATAAATGACTGGACAAACCTGGGGTGGATCTGATTGTGTGGAGGACGGGAAACAAAACGTGTTTGTTATCCAAGATCATCCACAAAACAAGACGTAGCCTTTTTGACATTTGTAAATTCGGTCACAACACAAGTCTGTTTGGTTGTAAACAGACTGCACTTGTTGTTGCCAAAGCAGCCAAAGCTAACATCTTACAAATTTGAGATCAACTCACTGAAAACACAGCGTAGCTACGGTAACGTGGCCGTCTAGCAGGGCCGGTGGAGGATGGGAACAGCTGTGGATACCAACACCATGCGCTGAGCATTAAAGTACGACCGGCAGATAAAAATGAGGAGTCAGGCGAACCCAGAGGAGCCAACTGGCTGTCGATCACCGAACCACTCAGCAGCCCTCTGACAAGGTCAATAAAGCTCCGAGTGGAAGAGGCAGCCGGAGAGCGCTCGGAGCTGCAGACAGAGAAAAAGCAGCTGCTCACACATAAACACTCGGGTTTCATTTTACGTGCAGGTTTTGTGAGTCCCTTATAATTAAAATTCAAGCGCTTTTCTCAATAATGACTGTTTGCCTGCACAGCCAGCAGCCCAGAGTCAAAGTGTCCACATTGTCAACACAACAAATGAAAATGTGTGTTCAGGCACAAAGAGAATGATGCATCTCACCTCTGTATCATCAAATAACGCTGACAAGAGCAACAGGGACACTTTGAAGTTCATTTTACACACTTTCACCATAAATACTGACTTTTATGTGCATTTTCTTTACAGTATACAGTGTAAAGATAAAACATGCTCCCCTTAGTATCAGCATGGCTTCGATTATCTGCTAAAACCTGTCAGTTTTCTGTCTAGGATGTATTTTCATGCACATGTTGAAGTAACATGTAAGATAAGGTAAACAGAAAATTAGAGAAGAACTTGCTCATTTTCCCAGTTTTTAATAATCACTTGAGGTGATTTTTGAGTTTTGGGAAAAGTTAAATGTGCTTATTGAAATACAGAAACATCTTTTCTGACAATGTGAACAATTAAGTCACATGACTGATCAGCTGTTTTCACTTCTAGTGGAAATTTGTATCACAGCCTGTGATGCCACCTCCTGATGACACCGCACTGAAAAATAATACGAGTTTGTAGAAATCCAGCAGCAAGGGTGCAAGAAAAATGTGTTTATAAAACACAGAACACTTAAAAAAATTTTAAAAAACATGTTTGTTTTTTAAGTGAAAATATCTGCAAAATTATGAT